AACACTACTTACTACTCTGGTCAAAATTTACATACATCATAAACGAGGAAGTTTGTCGTATCATCATCCAGCACAGTGACAAGTATGAACCTGTATTAACAACAGTGAAAAGACAGAAATTGCAAATGGTACGGACACGATAGGTCTGTTCAAAGCAGTACTGCAGTACTATGTAGAGTAATGGGGGAATCGCCGTGGCGGAACGGCTAGACGTTCGCCACGGATCGGAAGGTCGTGGGTTCGCTCCCTGGGGGAGCCAGACTTTTTTCCAAAATGACCTTGGCTCCCAGGTCGACCCAGCCTTGAGTGGGTGCCGGGTGCAGTCCCGGGAAGTAGAGGCGGCCGGCGTGATGCTGACCACATCATCCATCTAGTGCCGATTGGTCTATAAAAATCTAGGTCCAGCCCTATATGCCCTTCACTCCTAAAGGCGTGGAAAAGGGCCCTATGTAGAGTAATGTTGTTTCTTTAATGGTATCCCACTTCGAAATGTGGAGTCGTACACCGATTTCGGCAGTAATGTGGATAAAGACAGGGAATCTTATAGAGCTATTCAACTACGAATACAAGAGTCAAGAGAAGCTTTCATAGCACTAGGGAATTTGTAGAGGTCCACACAAAATTTTTTTTTAAGTAGTACTGTACTTAAAATGTTTTATTTGAATGTCATATCAGTACTGCTGTATGGAGCAGAAACATGAACAACTAATGCAGTTACTTATATAAACTACAAACATTTACTAGTTTGTGCCTGCGTTGAATAGATGGAATCAAATGGTATGATAAAATCACTGATGTAGAGGCTTGGGGAGAGAACTAAAAAAGTTCCAGTTGACCAAGAGGTGAGGAAAAGAAGCTGGCGTTGAATAGGACACACTTTGAGATAACCTAAGAAAAATATAACTAGAATGTCTTTGTGCTTGAACCCACAGAAGCTGGAGAGTGAAGTTAAAAAAGATGGGGAGAGCTGCTTGCAATAGCGCGCAATGTTACTTGGCGTGAGTTTGGCGGGTAAGAGAGGCCGAAGAAGAAGAAAGTAGAGGGAAATATGAGCAGAGGCACACACACAAATCTGAATACAGAATTGGGCTGACTGGACTGGTCTTAAACATGCAAACAACAAGTCAGATAGTCAAGGGAGACTGATGACCTAAAGATACGTGGTGTTATGGAACTATGATAGTGATTTTGATGATGAAGATTATGAGATGAGAATGATGGTGATCCCCATGGCAACACAACGCCACGTGATTTTTCTTTAATGTTGTGATGATAATGATGCTAATCTCCGAAACGTAACTGTTTAAGAAAAAGGAAATAAGATTTTCACCACAATTTACTGTTGTGGCTTAGAGCAGTCTTCTTCAAACTGTGTTCCGCGGTCCCGCTGCCGGGTCGTGGAAATGTCAAAGACGGGCCTCAAAAATTGTCTGCCCAGTCAAATAACTGGTTAGGGTAGATAGCTTTTCCACTTCCATGATTGCAGTAAGTAGGATTCTGCTTATTCTTCTCTTCCATCTTGTACCTCAGCGAAGTGTCGGGGGGAGATGTAATGTTCGTAGATGAGCTCTGTCAAGAGCACTATTAAGACTGATGTTCATTTCTGAAAGGCTGTTCTTAATGCCATCACTCCATCTTTTCCGAGGTCTTCCACTCGCTCTATACCCGTTGTAACGTTTTAGTGTGGTTCGCTGTAGCAGATAGTACCAGGGCATTCTTGCTAGGTGTCAAACCACTTCATTTGTTGTTCTTTGATGACCTGTAAGACTGGCTTTATTCCTAGCATTCGTCTGATTTCATGATTTCGTATTCTGTCTTTCCTTGAAACTCCTGCATTTCATCTCTGTTGTCACAATTTTACGTTCATTGGAGGATATAAGTGCCCACGTTTGGCATTAATAGCTTAGTAGGACTAACAACTATTTTATGAGAATCAGACTGGTGCAAAGCCCGGAAACCCCCGTTAAGCCGCATACAAGTTAAATTAGAGCACGGCGAACTCAAGAAAAGGCCGGCCATACCAACGGAATTTCCCCCTCCCCCTCCCCTTTCCACCTTTTCCCGCCTTTTTTTTTAAGTCTGAGAGACCAGTCTGTGTTTATCGTTTCTATGGAGCAGATTTGTACATAAATTAAACTACATTTTAATTAATTTGCAACATATTTAAACAAAAATATAAATCATTTTGAAGATAAATAAGTGTGATCTGAAATAATATAACAATAATTATTCTTGTACACAAACATAAATGCATTTTTTAGAGTCAGAGTCAACACACATATCAGTAACATGTAGCAATAAACTGAAAGCAGTTTGCAGCAAAAGTAAAGAAAAATTTATGGAGCCCGGTCATTGATTAGAGCACCGGACTGTTACGTAACCCGGCGGTTTAAAACGGAAACGTTTGTGTCTGGTTAACTGCCAGGTGCTCCGCAATAAAGTTCTTTTTTTTTCCCCCCTGTTTTGGTGGGACGCGGGTGTAAAAAGGGTTGTAGAAGACTGGCTTAGAGGTTAGTGAGTGCGTTTAACGAATCATCTAGTACAGTGCTTTTCAACCTGGAGACCTGCCTCGTGTGAGGGGGTGGGAAAGGGGAGGGGGGGGTGTAATTAAGTTGCAAGGGGACTCAAATTAATTTTGCCATCGAAATAAATCATTTGTGCTTGTAACAATCTGTCATTTTAACAGTCTTTTCAGTTCAATTGCAAGTAAAACATTTAACAAAACCAGTTATGAAACAAATATGTAGTTGTTGATTGTTTCTTTTATATTTTTTCATATTATGATTTATGAAGGTAATTTTCTGCATGTTCTTGCTTGGGATTTTTTCATATTGTCCTCTCTTATTGATTACATTTTTGTTAATACGGGGCGTAGAAGTAATATACGGAAAAGGGGAGGGGAAGCAACCTGAAAAAGTTGAAAACCTCAGGTCTAGTATTGCTGGGCTTCGATTTCCGCTGGGGACAATTTATAAAAAACAAAACGCACTCCTGTGGTTTTCGGGCAGTGGCACATTGAAAGAGTGTGGGGTCTCTAGCACGTAGTATTCCCAAACACAGCAGTGGTTGCACTGTAGCCATTGTTGTCTGTACTGAGTGATGCTATGGGTGTGACCCCGTGGGTAGAGGCAGGAGGCTGCGTGCATATCCAGTGGATTGAATGATGGCGAAACTTCGCCGTGCGTGGGGCTACATCTATCTTTGTCCCAGGGTATACTGGTGTTGTTGACAGTGAAAGAGCTGAGAGATTGGTCGGTGCTGTCCTAGCTACGCATGACCTCCATACGGATTACGCCGAAATTATTAATTCCCTTAGAGAGATGATCGGATTATTTTGGGAGCTACAAATGCGAGAATTGGGAGTAAAGTTCTCCATCTGAGGGTTCCCGGGGCCCCATTATAGAGGAAACAAGAATAGATCCACTGTCTCTCTAACAAGCATGTCGTAAAAGTAGACTAACTGGGGGCTTCCTTCGAAGGTGCATCGTCTGAGAGGCAGGGAACCAACAATTGCCTCCATATCAGTCACGTTTATAACATGGATGTGCACGCCGCACTCCGGTTCTGGAACAAGACTAAAGTCCAGAGATCGACAATTAAAAATTTTCGCTGGAGTTTTACAGCCGGTAAACGCGAATAAGCAAAAGAAGGGAGTGAAGATCAGCATTACCAAACATGAGAGACGCACTGGACGTATAAGCCAGCATAGGATTGGCACTGTCGACCGAGAGACGCTGACATTTATGCTGAAGGCAGAGTCTGAGCATCTGGAGAAGTGTCCGGAGTGCCCTGGAGATGGCCTAAATTATAACTCACAACTGTCTTCTTCTGCCTTTCTATCCCCCAATGGAGCATAGGCCCTCAACCAACTCACGCCAAGTCGTTCTATCCTTCGCCATTACCTGGAGCTCTCCCCATGTCCTCCCAATCTTTCTAACCTCATTCTCCAGCTCTCTTCTCCATGTGTTTTTTGGCCTTCCTTTATTCCTATGCCCCTGTGGGTTCCAATGCATAGACATTCTAGTTACGCTGTTCTCCTGTTTTCTCAGTGTGTGCCCTATCCAACGCCAGCGTCTTTTCCTCACCTCCTGATCCACTGGAGCCTGTTTGGTTCTCTCCCAAAGTTCTACATTAGTTATTCTATCATACCATTTTATTCCCTCTATTCTGCGCAGGCACCAGTTAACGAATGTCTGTAATTTATTAGTAATTGCCTTTGTTGTTCTCCATGTTTCCGCCCCATACAATAGTACTGATTTTACATTAGAATTAAAAATTTTTAGTTTAGTATTTCTTTTAATTTCTTTTGACCTCCACAAATTCCCTAGTGCTATGAAAGCCCCTCTTACCTTTTGTATTCTTATTTTAATATCTCTATCAGTTCCTCCATCTTTATCTACATTACTGCCTAAATAGGTGTACGACTCGACGTCTTGGAGTGGGGTGCCATTAAGAGAAACCACATTACTATTTGCCTGATTTATTCTCATTATCTTTGTCTTTCCTTTATGGATTTTCAGACCAAGCTGCTGTGATCTCGCATAAAGTATATTTAATTTATCTTGTATCTGATTCCGTGAATGGGACAGAAGGGCCCTTCTGTCCCAACTCACAACTGTAGCTACCCTTTATTATGGAAAAGCAGTGGACACGGCCGACATTCTCAATGCTGTCAAGAGAAGATGATTCAGGAGACGACGTTAAATCGGCAACTTTGAAATGACTACTAGAACTTCAGGTGAAAATAGTTGTCGCCAGACATGAACACTATACCGGTAGCCAAAGAAGAATTGTAAACAAACACAATTCTATATGTTATTAGTTGCCACATACTGAGGGATATACTTAGGGACTTGTCTGATGTGCAGTTAAGATAATTTGTCGATCAACTAACTAACTTACTAACTTCATTACGGAGACGTACTCAATTTTGTTCCCTTTCTACAGGATTCAACATTTTGATGCAGCATTGACCTCACAGTAACTGACCTCTCCCAGCGATGACCACCAACTCCAGTAGTGGGGTCATTGACCTGGATGACTGGGACAAGCTGATGATAGTGGTTGCTTCCGCCCTGTTTCTGATGTTGGTTGTTATTTGTCTGGTGTGTGTCCTCAGTCCCGACTGTTGTCTGCACAAAGTTTGTCCCTTTAAATACGATGAAGGTTAGTTGCCGTGTTTTCTATCTACTAGTATTAGTTTTAACTATAACATCATCATCATCAATGTCGCTATGGTAACAGTGGCTAGACTCTCGCCTGCAGATCGGAAGATCGTGGGTTCGGATCCTTACGGAGCCTGCCTTTTTTGTATTCCGAAAATGACCGTGGCTGCCAGGTCGATCCAGCCTTGAGTGAGTACCAGGTGCAGTCCTGGGAAGTAAAGGTGGCCGGCGTAGTGCTGACCACATCACCTACCACATTACCTACCATTTACTTACTAACAACAACATCATCATCATCACCATCATCATCATCATCACCATCATCATCATTACCATCATCATCATCATCATCAATCAGGAGACCCTTTAAAGAACGTCGCTCTCGTCACGCCACACCTGAAAGTATCTCTGTCTCTAGCCAATTCTCCAGCCCTATGTGCCTTCATAGCCAATGTATCTTCAAAGTCATGTACCCACCTTCGCGGAGGTCGACCTCTGACTTGTTTTCCAGAGGCTACACCATCCATCAGCTGACCATGCCGTTCCCTTGTGGGCTGCAATTTTTTCGTTATTTGAAGCCCCACCCTGGCTTTTGCTGGAGGACCTAAATATGGCCTATCGGCTGAACGAAGTTTCTGGGACCTCTCCACTGGTGATTGTCAAAGACCTTATTTCTATGCTACTTAACTACGGCTCGTTATAAGGCCTTATGACAGACACACTATACTAGAACACACTTAAAATACACACCTATTGAGCACACACATAATCTTTAATGTACAAAGAGCAATTCAACCTAAAGCAACCTCAACAGTTATGGACAGTCCCTAATCCGAAACGCCAGCAGTGGCAGCATTTATATTTACTTATCCACCCCAAGCCGTTGCCATGGATGTACCAGAGGACTCGATTCCACCTCACTGTCGTACAGCGCTAACTAGGCTGCCGCCCTCACCACGCGAGACTTTGTGAAACACGCAGGGTGAGTGATGTAAGTATGAGCGGGCAGTGTTAACGCCACCAACAAGCACAGATAAAACTTAATAACCCATAGACATGAACAACTATCTAAGCACGACAGAACACCAACACAACTATCTTAGAATACTATAAGCACACGAGAAATACCAACAGCTAACCAACACATATTACGACAACGCTAACAGTCTCTATCTTTCAACTCCTAAAAAATACAATCTTTAACGTCTATCTATTTCTTCAGCCTCACACGTCCATGTCCAGCGCTTTTCTCCTCTCCCCGTTCAGCTTCGGGTAAAACGCGTATGTAGTACCAGTGTTCAAGCCATATTAGGTTTTCTACTTATAATGAATTCAGCTGGCTGACCGCTGGTGCACCGTTTGGTCCGTCATACACAAACATATGAAGTTACAAGTCGTATCGTCTATACTCTGTACAATGTGGTTAAAGAACTAGGATTGCGCGGTAATGAACGGAAACGAACACTTAAAAAACTGGGCGAGGCAGCCGAAAGGGCCTCGAGTTGGCTTTGGACGCAACGGAACAACGTAGGGGACGGGCCTCTGCGAATACACGAGTCACTGGCTACAGGCCTGCTCGCGATCGAGCGATGCAGGCTGATCGGGAAATTCAAGGTATGGTGTCTCCAATTCATGTTGATTCCGAAGCTGCTCTGGCCACTGTTAGTCTACGAGGTGACGATGACTGCAGTGGAAATCATGGAGAGGAAAATCAACACAGCCTTAAGAAAGTGGATTGGTGCACCGCCTTGTCTGACCGACGTGGCTCTGTATTGCAAGCAGGCTAAGCTGGTACTCCCGTTCAAATCGATAACCGAAGAGTTTAAAGTTGGCAAAGTAAGACTCACCATGCTGTTGCGCGAGTCTTCAGACCCAAATGTCATCGCTGTCCAGCCCGCTCTAAAGACTGGCCAGAAGTGGAGAGTCCTCGATGCGATAGAATCTGGCCAGAATGCACTAAAATTGAAGGAGATAATGGGATACACTCAAACCGACCGTCGAGGCCTAGGGCACGGAAAGGTCAATTGGTGGTCAAAGGCATCAGCCAAAGAGCGCCGAGACATGGTAATACAAATGGTGAGGGACAACGAAAACGAGATTCGGGTTCAGAAAGCAGCCCAGCAGTCGCAGCAGGGCCATTGGGTCAGCCTGGAAAGCGCATTGCCAAGAATACTCACATGGGGTGAGATCTGGCAGATGACCCCGCTGCGACTGAGCTTTATCGTTCGTTCGGCGTACGATGTATTGCCGTCCGGTGTTAACATGGTTAAATGGTCTGCGACTAACGATCCGACTTGCCCGTTGTGTAAAGCGAAGCAGACGCTAGAACACGTCCTGTCCGCGTGCAGGAAAGCCCTAGGTCAAGGCCGATATACCTGGCGACACAACAAGGTGCTAAAAGAGTTAGCAGCCGTTGTTGACCAGGCTAGAATGAGGGCTAACGCCAGAGCCAGTACTACCATCGTCCCCATTCGTTTCCTCAAGGCTGGGCAGGTTCCAAAAGGTAAGGTCAACCGAAACGCATTCGCTCCATCTGTGCTAGACTCTGCGAGGGACTGGTTACTGGCGGTTGATCTGCCGGGCCATGAAAGTTACCCCGAGTTAATCCGGAAGACCGGCCTGCGCAAAAACGGCAGCTCATCCTGATTGAGCTGACTGTCCCGTACGAGTCGCATATGGAAGAGAATCACATGTATAAGCTCGAGAAATACAGTGATTTAGCAGCCGGTCTGAGGAGAAACGAGGCGTACACGGTACGGGTCTTTGCCGTCGAAGTGGGAGCGAGAGGCGTCGTTTCCACTTCACTGTACAATGTGGTTAAAGAACTAGGATTGCGCGGTAATGAACGGAAACGAACACTTAAAAAACTGGGCGAGGCAGCCGAAAGGGCCTCGAGTTGGCTTTGGACGCAACGGAACAACGTAGGGGACGGGCCTCTGTGAGCTGGTCCGGGTGTCTTGCGAAAAAGGGTTTCTCACCCCTTGAAAGTCCATCGTGTCCGAATTGTCTGCCAGTGATCCTCTGCCACCTGCTAATAAAAGTCCAACATGTGTCTGGTAAACCAATCGTAAGCTTGTCGCTCGGTCGTCCAGGTATGCTGACTGCTTTAATTAGGCTGCCGCGACGACTTCTTATCTCACAGTACCTTCTGCAAACCAAAAAGTCGTCTTGTCCCTATCCGAAAGAAAAACACCATCCGGTAATTTCGTGCAGCAGTGTACCAGCCCTGAGCTTCATGAACTCAGGTGGGCCCACCTCTGAAAGTGTCTAGGAATCGTGGGCCGAAACACTTGTCGACGAGGATAATTTCTACTGACGACTGGTAGATCCCTGCTGTACTTGCTCCCTGTGAGTTTATTCCTATTGTCCCAAACCCTTCCCACAGGGCTATGACAGTGATCCTCACCCGCATGGTGGCGCTCTTTTTACTGGGTGTTTCTAGCTTTGTGTGATGTCCTGGTGGGGTACAACGTACATACGTACGTACATACATACTTACGTACGTACATACATACATACACACACACACACACGTACACACGCACACGCGCACACACGCACACGCGCACACGCACGCACACACACGCACGCACACACGCACGCACACACGCACGCACACACGCACACACGCACGCACGCACGCACGCGCGCAGGCAGGCAGACAGACAGACAGACAGACAGACAGACAGACAGACAGACAGACAGACAGACAGACAGACAGACAGACAGACAGACAGACAGACAGACAGACAGACATTCATGCATGCATGCATCACCGCTCTTTCCAGGCCACGATGACGTTTAACATGACCAAAATACCTCAGATTTTAGGACATGATGTTGTTAATGAGCCAGTTCTCCTTGATTCAACTATGAATATGGAAAGGAAAAAAAATCAGTTTCAGGTAATTGATACATTGGGTAAAGGATGCAGGAGACATTTTATTGACCAGCTGGCACTCGAATGGTGCTGCCGGGAGGGACACCTTACAAAGAAAACATGGGTGTTGAGGGGGGTCCCTTATAAATAATGACACGTATACGCATGTACTTTAAAAGAGAGTTCTTATTAATTTAGGACTTGGCTTACTTTGCGAAAAAAAAAATAGTCACATTCAACAAGCACTCCTGAAGGGGAAGCTTTAGGTTATAATAGTGACTAGGTTATGTGTGCCAGATAAAATGGCTTAGCATCACTCGCCCCCAAGAGTCCGGAAAAAGGATTCCTGTAGTGTTGATGAGATCAAACGAGACAGGCGACGAAGTCGTCTCCCGGCTTGCCAATGGGCGACCAGGTCACCGATGTATTAAAAGGGACTGCTTAGCTCCTTATACAGTTGTGCTGTTTTTGTTCCCAAAAGCATTGTCCTTCTAATAGAGACTTGAAGATGGTTGTATAATCTGTGTGATTTTGAAGACACATTCTTCATTATTTCTTTTACTGAAAATTAAACGACAACAAATTTCTATCATCCGTATATTTCTTATTATCCTTTTTATTATTATTTCTTTGCCAGTTGTAAGCTAACGTGGAAACTTCCGGTTGTTCGTCCATTAGGACTTTGGCTTTGTGCTAAAGCCTGAGTTTTGCGTGTACGTCCGTTTTATTGGCTTCTCTGGGTGCAGTTGGTGGTTGTTCCTTGCCGCTCGGGCACATGCAATCCGACTTCGAAGGAAGCTCCCAATTAGTCGACTCCAACGACATGCTTGTTGCGGGGAGGGGGGTGGATCTATTCCTGTTTGCCCCATAATGGGGCCCCGGAAAGCTGTATATTTAAAAGACGTATACATTTGAAAGTTTTCTTAAAGCCGCTGGTGTAATTTAAACCAATAGGGGCCTCAGGTTTTTATTTATCTTAGGGCCTCAACAAAATCCTGCTCTACTTACCGGGATAACTTAAAACTGATGAGCTCCATCTGTTTACATAAGTGCTTCATTTTCTGTTTGGTTCTTATAAGGAGATGCCCATCATATCACCATCTTCGATATGTTGTAACTGTTGATACCAGAGGTTTCTCCGGCAACACTAAAAAGACCCGATGACAACTAATAAATGCTGGTTCGGTCGCAAAGTCCTACACAAGATATACGATTAACTTTAAAAAACGATGTTCATACACAGTAAATTAAAATTGTTAACTTTGTGCCTGTTGCAGAAAAGATGCCATTACAACCCGTATATGGGTCCCTTTATGACCCAGACAGATCCCCAGGCAAGAAAGGTTATAGTGTCAAAGGTCAACAGGGGCCAAATTGGCATCCCATGGTTCCCTTGCGAGAGTCGGAGCTTTCTGACTGGTCTGATTTTAGCGTACCGGATGTCATTGAAATGAAGACGGTAAGTTGGTGTGGGGTGAGATGGAGAGCTGAGGAATCGAGTTGTGGATGTGTGGGGTGAGATGGAGAGCTGAGGAATCGAGTTGTGGATGTGTGAGGTGAGGAAGAGAATGAGGTAGTTATGAAGAGGGTAGAGAAAAGAATGAGGTACATTTTACGCTGGTCTCCCTATTTACACACCGCTACACACTGGCTCGCTTCTGACTGGACGACCTACTGACCACCTTACTCACATAAGGTCATGGGGATATTCCGCACTCGCGCTCATACCGCGTGTTGTATATTTCAAAATGCCAGAGCTTTTAACACTTGTAAAACATTTAGATACTGGGTCTAACACACAACTCCCCCTAGAGAGTGACAATACCTATATCACAGGCCGTCTCTTTCTCGAAAATAAAAACGTAAAGCCAGACAACAACAGACTGCGACACCCATAACCTCGACCACGGTAGACTAGTCCAACCAACTTATCAATGGAGTTGACCTACAACCGGTGGTGTGTAAATGGGGAGACCATCGTATAAATAACCAAGAATGAACTGGCGAGGAAGAGGACGAGGAGGTACGAAAAAGTGAGAGTGAGAGAAAGCAGGGAAGAGAATTGACAGGGCAGGAATAGACAAGGTGATTTGTGAAAGCAGAAAGTGATTAGGTGAAGTAGGACGTCTGGAGGCGAGGAAAGAGGGAATGGATGAGAAGGGAAGGAGTACGTGAGATTGGAGGGACAATGAGGAGGGGAAGGAGGAAGAATGAGTAAGAGAAAAAAGGAAATGTACTGTGAGAAAGATCGGTAACAAAGAAAGAGAGAAAGAGTAAATAAGAAAGAGACAAGAATGTGACATAAACGTTTAGAGAGAAAGAGCAACGAGTAGACAATACACCTTCATAAATAAAGAGCAGTTGATTCACGACAATTCCCCTCCAGGGGATCTGATTATCTATACAGATTGTTCAGTATTGAGAGGAAAGAGAATTGCCTAGGAGTTCGTAACGAAAGCCAATAGAAAACGTTCAGTGCAAGACAGCCTAGCATATGACACCACAACATCTAGCATGAGAATGGAGGTGGACGCGGTAACTGCAGCTCTCCGGTGGCTAGAGAACAAGATGATACACATGTTGTAACGGACTGTGAAAGCATGCTAAAAAAGGTTAAGACAGTGATGCTTCGAGGAGAGTGGCAAGCTTCACTAGAAAGGTATTGGAACTCAGAGCTGCCTGCTGAAGATGAGGACGGAGCATGCATGGGAATGCCTCGAGTGCTGTGATGTCAGTTCTTGACTCGACTCAACTCAACTCAAATAAAGAGCAAGCGGGAAGTGGAGAGAGAGAGAGAGAGAGAGAGAGAGAGAGAGAGAGAGAGAGAGAGAGAGAGAGAAGAAGAAGAAGAAGAAGAAGAGCGGGTGAGTAGGGAATTTTGAGAGAGATAAAGTAAAAATAAAAAAAGGAGAGAGGCTAGAAAGATAAAGAGAGAGATCAAGAGAAAGAGAGAGAGAGAGAGAGAGAGAGAGAGAGAGAGAGAGAGAGAGAGAGAGAGAGAGAGAGAGAGAGAGAGAGATAGAGATAGAGAGAGAGAGAAACATGATACAGATACACAAATTAAAATCCCCCCCCCCCCCCCCCAAAAAAAAAAACATACATTTATATATATTAAGTAACAGTATTAAAAAATTATAACAACAAGCCAATTGCAGTATTATAAAACAAGTTTACACCGTTTCCAGTAGCAACACACCTCGCTTTTTTTTCAGAATCATATGGATCGGGAACGGAAGTGGTCACGAACCAGCGACTATAGCAGCAGCAGCCTTAGCACTGGAACCTTCCCTACCCATTTAGAAAGTAGACTCGCTTACGGTGTAACCTTCGACCGCGCCAGAGGTCAGCTGCATATCCGGATCATTCAATTGGGCAACTTTACCGTCACAGACCCAGATGGCGCTATGGCGCCGTACATCAAAGTTCGGATCTACAGGACGCCGAAACAGTTTTTCACTTTCAAACTGAAGTAAGTTCCTCCGTCGTGCAGGTAATTTATTCCCTAATTTTGTTTTATTTCTTCTGTTTGTTTGAGGTAATTATCCCCGTTCGGGATTGCAGCTTCCTGTGTGGGTTCTAAAGGGGGGGGGGGGGGGGGGTTAGACCCACTGTTCATTGACAAGCATGTCGTAAAGGACAGTTAATTGTTGGTTTGCGGAAATTGGGCGTATTAGGTCTAAATGTGCAGTTATTGCAGAGTAACTGTAAAATATAACATGACATGCCAACCGTCCCTATAAATGCGCACGGAGAATGGGAAGGAGGAGGAGGAATAGAAGAAGGATCAGAAGAAGAAGAAGAAGAAGAAGGGGGAGAAGAAGAAGAAGAAGAAGAAGAAGAAGAAGAAGAAGAAGAAGAAGAAGAAGAAGAAGAAGAAGAAGAAAAAGAAGAAGAAGAAGAAGAAGTTTTTTATAAAAAAAACCACCATAAATCCAGAAAACCTTTTGATTGTCAACGCCTATTCTACTGTGATAAAGAAATAGTCTTTAACTTGCGTTCTTTAACCGACAGTCCACGGAAATGCCCGGATGGCCCGCCAAAAATGTCTGCCTAATCAAGCAACGTCTGCGTGATCTCGGCGCTGCATTGTTGCATAGATTTTCTACCCTCTAATTAGCAGAAGATGTCAGATCGGATGAAAACTTTAATTTGGTGACATCAGATGTAACAAACGTTGAACATAAAATGGGATGCATTTAAGAGGGTTGAAGAAATAGGAGAAATATGTGGATAACCGTTGGTGTTAACGGTTATAAGAAACAGAAGATGGCTCTATATTGGACACACCCTGCAAAGAAACGGGCAGATAATCACCAAACATTCACGCCTAAAAAAAAAAAAACTTAAAAAAAACATACAGTGATCATTTATGCGAGAGGCCAAAGGGGTTTGGACTGGATTCCATCCAATGTTGTCGAAGAATTTGTGCATAGCGCTTCTTCTCCTCCTCCTCCTCCTCCTTCTTCCTTTTCTTCTTCTTCTTCTTCTTCTTCTTCTTCTTCTTCTTCTTCTTCTTCTTCTTCTTCTTCTTCTTCTTCTTCTTACATTTGTAACATAACTACAGCCCATATCAAAGCAATATTGGAAACAGTAAGAATTACATACTTGTCTGGGAAAAAAAGTTGCATAATAAGTAAAATATTACATACGTATTCTGAGAACTCGATGAACTCGACCACATGTCGAAAAAGGCCCCTGGCCGAAACGTCGATTTGTGTGTTATGTGCACGTTTTTCTGGTTGCCCATTTCGTTTTATTGTTAGTTACAGTTCACTGGATTAATTTCTTGGTTTAAGCTTGACTGCAACAGGACAATCACTGACAATGATGATGTAACAAAACAAAACAGCTATGTATATTAATTTTATTGTTTTTAGCTGTTGTAGTGTCCAGGAAACAACTGTCCCTGTTTTGTCGATCTGCGGGTATAGGAAAAGCCAGTCTATACTCTTATGTCCCCTGGATGCTCAGGGCTTCAGGTCACTTTTTAACGCGTCGGCCCCGCCCCCCAATATAACCTTACAGTTAAACGGGACTCACCGGGATTTGTACATGTGGGATTCTCATCCTTGAGCTGTTAATCCTGCTGACGGCAACCATGGATGGACAAACTGCAACTGATGTAGACAACACTTGGAAATACCTATGAGTTTGAGAGTGTCTTGCTTTGCGAAAAAGAAAATTGTCACATTTAGCCAGCATTCCCTTAGGGAGGAGCTTTTGGTTATAACTGTGACTAAGTTTATTTGCGCTATATTAACTGGCTTAGCATTGCTCGCAACCAAGTAGCCTTGAAAAGGACTCAGTGCTGATGCGATAAAAAGAGACAGACCAAAAAAAAAAAACTGTCCCTTGTGTGTGTATGCGTGTGAATCGCCTCCCACCCTCTGACGTCATCAGCGACCGGGTTGCCCATTGGCTGGCCGGTAGATGACTTTATCGTCAGTCGGGACAGTATTTGTGTCTGTCTCCTTTGATAGCATCAACGCTGCAGAAGTCATTTCCAGAGCGACTTGGTGGCGAGCAATGCTAAGGCATTCTCAATGGCGCACACAAACCTAGTCACAATTATAACCAAACAGCTCACCATTCAGGGATGCTGGTTGAAGGTGACGAATTTTTTTTCGCACACCAAGGCAAGACCCTCTGACACAATTATTTACAATCACGTTCCTAGAAGAAAACACTACACACACGCACACACACACACACACACACACACACGCACACACACGCACGCACACACATACACACACACACATAAAATCTCTTTGTCAGGGAACTATTATTGACCAGTCATTGATATGATCAGATATTAGCGCTAACAAATGTGATACAAAAACAGAGATGGGGAGAATGGAGGAGTGGTTATCGGTCTGAATCATATCCCGAATGAATCAATCGAGCTGCAGCGGATTGGGATCATTTTGTGAATACAGAGTAGACGAAGGGGGTGGGTGTTTAGGGAAATCAGAGAAATTGTTGATAATTTGATGGTTAAGAGATAGATGTGAGTGGTAGAAAGATGGATACAAATTAAATATATCTAGACAACGTGTAGAATTACTCTAAATAAGATCGCAACGCCACCTCATATTTAAGCGTAGAAATGAAAATAGTTATTTGCTTTTAAGCGATAACAATCTTACGGCGTTACCCTCTACTTGGAGCCACCATGATGTAGAGGCTAGCCTTAATTGGTACCAGATACAGTCGTGGCAATTCTTCTTCTTCTTCTTCGCGTTCACCAGCTGTACACTCTGGTGAAAGGTTCTGGTTGTTCATCCACTACTGAACTGCAGTCCTGCTCCAGAACCTGAGTGTTGCGTGTGCATCAGTTTTACAGATCTCATTCTCTTGAATACAGACTGTTGGTTTCTTGCCTCTCCGGCAGATGCACTCCGACTTCACAGGAAGCTCCCCAATTAGTCGACTCTTACGACATGCTTTTGGGGAGGCAGTGGGTCTATTCTTGTTTTCCCCACAATGGGTCCCCGGAACCCACACTGGGAGAGTAGTGGGAAGTAAAGGTGACCCGCGTGATATTGACCAAATCACCTACCAAGTGCCGATAGGTCTATAAAATGTAGGGCTAGCCCTATATTCCTAATACGCCTGTGATTCCCAAACTGTGCGCCGCGGCGCCCCGGGGAGCCGCGACCTCTTCACATGGGTGCCGCGAAATATTCGAAGATACATGAGTTTTTTTTTTTTTTTTTTTTTTTAATTTAAACCTCTTACATACGAATAGTCATACTTTTACTTAGGTTAGGGCGTAGAAAAATTTTAATTGAAAAAGGTGCCGCGACTAAGAAAAGTTTGTGAAACACTGCAATACGCCTAAAGGCGTGAAAAGGAACCTTACTCTACTTACCAACCATTTTTCCCGCCAGAAGCTCACGAGATCTGCCCAGGTGTAACCTTGAATCCGAGCATCAGACGAGGATTCAACGTCGGACCGATAACCCGCTGTTTAACGAGACGTTTAGTGTGGATGTGGACATCCAAGACCTCAGCTCCTACCTGATCAAGTTCCTGGTCTGTGACTTCGACAAGTTTTCCAGGCATATGGTTATAGGTACGTTCGTGTGGTCTCTTCAAGTGTCTTTATTTGTTTGCCATGCATTCTTCTATCTTCACGTGTTGGGCATTTTGTATATTTCCTCTAGATTTTTTTTGTTTAAATCTGGGCAGCACACAGTATGGGCACCTTTTTTTTGGCTTGACTTGACTTGCTTTGGCAACTCCCCTTTCCCCCCCCCCCCCCTTTCCAGTAAAATTCATCACTTTCAACAAGGGCTATACCGAATAGTGATTTTCACTATTCGGCCGAATACGAATAGTGGGATCAACTATTCGGCAGAATACGAATACGAATAGTGTATCATCATCATCAGGTGACTTGCCGACTGGCGTGTGCGATCATGCCTCTCCACAATCTGCTATCTCTTGCAGCATGGATCAGTTCGTGTGCTGACACACCTCCATGCCATGCAACAAGACTGTCAAGAATCTTCTATCGTTGTCTTCCTCTATCCCTCCTTCCACAGATCTTTCCAGTGGTCACTAAATGTTCCATTTCTCCTATTCTCATAACATGGCTGAAAAATGACGACTGTGTCCTTCTGATGTCTGTGATTAGTTGTCTTCGGGCTCCCGCTTCTTTCAAAACTATCGTTCGCTCGGACGTTCGTTTGATGTAATTTAAACGCACCTTCATATTCTCGTTAGCAATATCTTCGAATTTGATTTGGGCGAAGACAACCTGAAAAAACAATGCATTATCTATCTCTTTCTCTTCCCCCTTCTCTCTCTCTCTCTCTTTCTCTCTCTCTCTCTCTCTCTCACACACACAGACACACACACACTGCGGTTAGCATTTTATGCAGTTTGTACCACGCATCCGGGTCGCAGTTCCCCCCGCTACGACAAAGGCAACAGAAACTATTGTGTTAATGAGAAAGTTATTTTAGTCCATCACAGTGAATGCAGAAACGGGAGTAAGGTAACCACTATTCGTATTCGGCCCGACCGCAACTATTCGGCCGAATACCGAATAGTTATTAGGTCCACTATTCGGCCCCGAAGCGAATACGAAGCAAATACTCGGTACAGCCCTACTTTCAACCAGCAGACCTGAAAGGATCTGCTGCACCACTGGGTGGTGAATTGACACATGACAAGGCAGATGTGGTCAATGCCCTTTTGGGAACAAGCAACGGAATCAGTAGAGAAACAAGATTATTATGGCTTGGAGAGAATGAAACACCTGGGTGTAACCAGAGGGTTTGGCTGGCTCACTACACTTAGAGAAAGGCAAGACGGACATATAACCAGATTGTGACTGGTACCATCAGTACAGGAACTCTGCGCTGGCTGCTGAAGATGAGGACGGAGCACGCATGGAAATGCCCCGAGTGCTGTGATGTCAGTTCTTGACTCAACTCAACTCAACTCAACCCTAAAAGGAGGAGGGAGGGCTCTTGGTTATAATTGTGACTACGTTTATGAGCGCCCTATAAAATGGCTTAGCATAGCTAGCCACCAAATAGTCCTGAAAAATGACTCTTGCATTGCTAGTACGATCAAGAGAGACAGACCCATATACTGCCCTAACCGACGACGAAGCCGTCCACCGGCCAGCCAGTGAGGGACCCCGTCGTTGATGTGATGCTTATGTTGGCATTCTAGTGCCACTGTATTCAGGAGCCGCCGTGGTGTAGCGGCTAGACGCACACCCGCTGATTGGAAGGTCGTGGGTTCAGGTCCTCGTGGTATGGACTTTGTTTCAAAAATGACTTTGGCTTCCAGACCACAATTATAGCCGAGACTACTCGCAGTAGGTTGAAGATGGGCGATTTTTTGTTTAAATTTCGTAAATGGATGAATGCATTAAAAAATGACTAGCAAAAAATGGCTGTTCATAACAGGCCTGAGGGTAGGGGGGAAAATGAGGGGGGGGTGGCGGGGTGGGGGCGCAGGGCACCACCTGTAGACTAGGAACCAAACGCAAACATGACCACGCAACAATGAGACTGCAATGCCTTACGAAACTAGCCCCAGAAGGCTAAGCCGGGCAACAGTTTCCCGCATAAGTGTGACGAGTCGGCCAAAAAGGCGCAGATATCGCAGTCATGTAAGCTAGGACAACGCATTTACGTCCTCAGCCTTCACCAGCCGCCAGCTTCAGCGGAAACTTCCTTTTGTTCGTCCACTCCTGGAATCTGGTCTTGTTCGAGAACTACAGTTTTGCCGTACACATCCGTTCTACAGATCTGGTTTATGTGTTTGCAGATTGTTGCCTCCGCGCCTCTCAGGCAGAGGCATACTCAGACTTCACATGAAACTTCCCTTATTAGTCGCCTTGTACGACATGCTTGTTTAGGGTGACAGTGGGTCAGCGCCCCCCCCCCCGGGTGAGGCCCCTGAACCCACGTGAGGAGGACCTGTTGACTATGATGCTGATATCTGACCTATTTACTATATATGGGTCCCGGAACAGTAGGGCTTATTTATGCTCCTTTAGACTCATTCCCTTAGAAAAAAAAAATCTGAAACCGCATTTAGATCCCCTGTAATCCCGAGCCCCCCCCCCCCAATCCCCAGCACCTCTTCCCCCCCCCCAATCCCCAGCACCTCTTCCCCCCCCCCCCCAATTCATAGCACCCCCCCCCCCCTCCGAAATCCCAAGCACCCCCTCCCCACCCTCACCACCCCTGTTTTGTTTGCACCCGCACCAGTGCTATAACATCCACTCATTTAAATACAGCCGTCACTACTGTATCTAATACAGATACTACTTCGACTGCTACAACTATTCATTTCCCTATTATATTTACTACTTTGACTACTACAGTTACTACCTTGATTACTTTAGTTAGTTGCGTAACCTTTACTGGACGTTGCAGAACCAACCCCAGCATTTTGTGGCTGTTGTGGTTTTCCTAGGCAAGTTTATGTCCAGTAGTTTGCCATTGCTTTCTCGACGGTCGGCTTCTCGATACCCCTGTCAAAACCAACGCAAGGCGCAAGGCCCGCAGCTGGGATCGAAACCGGCACCCCGGCATTAAAAAGCGCGTAACGCCTAAGCCACAGACGCCGACTGACTTCTACAGTTGCTAATTTGATTTCGATTACTACTTTGACTATTACGGCTACTACATTGATTACTACAATTACTACTTCGGCTACTACAGCTATTCATTTGACTATTATAGTTACTACTGTGAATGCTACAGCTGCTGCATTAACTACTATATTTTCTAATTTGAATACTACTGTTACTAATCTGACTTCTACAGTTACTACTGCCAGTGCCACAAGTGGTCACTCACAACAAAACAAAAGGACATTAGTAACTATGGAAATGAGGTGTCTGAGAAAGGCTGTTGGAGTGACCAGAAATTACATACAAAGACAGCGAAACAAATGGTTTGCTCACTTGGAGAGAATGCCTCCTGATGCTATACCATACGAGGCATATACCAAAAGAGGAGAAGGAAGTAGAGCAAAAGGTAGACCAAGAACAAGATGGGAATATAATATAAGGGAAACTCTTCAGCACTACGATGTGTCTTTGGTCGAAGCAGCCAGGAGAGCACATTGCAGGAGCTTAAATCTGCATAGACACCTAAAGCGGTAAAAGAGGACGTAGAGAAGAAGAAGAAGAAGAAGAAGAAGAAGAAGAAGAAGAAGAAGAAGAAGAAGAAGAAGAAGAAGAAGAAGAAGAAGAAGAAGAAGAAGAAGAAGTAGAAGAAGAAAAAGAAGAAGAAGAAGAAGAAAAAGAAGAAGGAGAAGAAGAAGAACATAGTTACTACATCGACTACTACTTTAACTTGTACAATATCTAATTTGACTTTTGAGCTACCACAAGTCATTGCTTTGGCGACTACTGTAAATACGCTGACTACTACAGTTACTACTTTTACTATCATTTTAACTAATAGGATAGCTACTTTAACTACTAGAGTTATTACTTTGACCACAGTCAGAGTGTGTGTTACCTGCGTGTGTTGACCTTGTGTCCCAGGTGAGGTGATGTGCGATGTCTCAAAGCTGGAGCTTTTGTCCGGAGAAGAGGTTCTCTACAACGATCAGCTGATGGTGCCTCAAGATGTAAGTCAGTCAGTTCCTCTTTAATATAGTTACCTCCTGTTGTGCCCCCCCCCCCCAAACAATTCAATTCCTTCATAACTTCAATGAATATGTGTTTTCCGATAGTCCTAGCGACCCCTGTGAAAGGGTCGTTAGACCCAGAAAAGGGTCGCCACCGGCAGGTTGAGAATCGCTGCTCTAGCAAATTACATTACCATATCGTGACTTCCAGAGTGTGGCTCCGGGGCCCATTTGTTGGGGCAAATCAACATCAGGATAGGTAAGGCAGCCACAACAATAAGCACATTAACAAAAAGAGTTTGAGAGAAAAGAAAGCTCACGATTGAAACAAAAACTCTTGTCAGTCAGGCTTGTGTTCTTAGCACTCTGCTTTATGGCACTGAAATTTTGTCAACTTATTCGCACCAGGAGAAACGGCTAAATAGCTTTCACATGCGAAGCCTAGGAAGAATGCTTGGCATTAATTGACAGGACAAGATCACAAACACTGAGGGAACTGGAAAGAGCAGGTATTACACAACCTTTCTCAAAGCTCAGTCTACGAAAGCTCATGTGGCTGGGTCACACCTTGAAAATGGAGGATGGCAGAATCCCTAAGGGCATCCTCTATGGTAAATTAAAGACGGGTAGAAGATGTCGAGGCTGACCTCTACTACGATACAAAGAAGTATGCAAGCAGGACATAAATGATACAGGTATTGAGGTGTACTCGTACTCGTGGGAACAAAATGCCATGGACCGTGTTGTGTGGAGGAGGCACGCCAGTAAAAAGAATGAGAATTAAGGATTGCAGAAAGGATGAGAGCTGAGCGCCTGAGAAGCAACAGACTAAACACAAATGTTGACAACAACGGTCCTGAAATCCCATACTATCATTGTGGAAGACTTTGCCTAACGCGGGCGACCTTTGCTAGTTTCACTCGCCTTCGCTATGGGCTGTGAGTCCCATGTCTCCTCATAGCCCAATATAACACTATCGTCTGGAATTGTGCCAATCATATATATATATATATATATATATATATATATATATATATATATATATATATATATATATATATATATTCACACACGCAGTGTGAACGCGTGTGTGTACGTGGAGAAATCCAATGTGGTGTAGTGGCTTGAAGCTATGTAGTGTGCGTGCATGCATGCTTGTGTGTGCGTGCATGCTTGTGTGTGTGCGTGCATGCTTGTGTGTGTGCGTGCGTGCATGCTTGTCTGTGTGTATGTACGTACGCGCGTACGTATGTATATACGTACGTAGGTACGTATGAATAAATAAATACATATTCGTGTTAGTTTCACATGCCTCTATGTGAATATATGCTGTGTGACTATGTCGACAGGAGAATCTTGGGGAGATTCGTGTTAGTTGCACATGCCTGTATATGTATATATGCTGTGTGACTATGTCGACAGGAGAATCTTGGGGAGATTCGTGTTAGTTGCACATGCCTGTATATGTATATATGCTGTGTGACTATGTCGACAGGAGAATTTGGCGGAGATTCGTGTTAGTTGCACATGCCTGTATATGTATATATGCTGTGTGACTATGTCGTCAGGAGAATTTGGCGGAGATTCGTGTTAGTTGCACATGCCTCTATATGTATATATGCTGTGTGACTATGTCGTCAGGAGAATTTGGCGGAGATTCGTGTTAGTTGCACATGCCTGTATATGTATATATGCTGTGTGACTATGTCGACAGGAGAATTTGGCGGAGATTCGTGTTAGTTGCACATGCCTCTATATGTATATATGCTGTGTGACTATGTCGTCAGGAGAATTTGGCGGAGATTCGTGTTAGTTGCACATGCCTGTATATGTATATATGCTGTGTGACTATGTCGACAGGAGAATTTGGCGGAGATTCGTGTTAGTTGCACATGCCTGTATATGTATATATGCTGTGTGACTATGTCGACAGGAGAATTTGGCGGAGATTCGTGTTAGTTGCACATGCCTGTATATGTATATATGCTGTGTGACTATGTCGACAGGAGAATTTGGCGGAGATTCGTGTTAGTTGCACATGCCTGTATATGTATATATGCTGTTTGACTATGTCGACAGGAGAATTTGGCGGAGATTCGTTGTTAGTTGCACTATGTCGACAGGAGAATTTGAGATTCGTGTTAGTTGCACATGCTGTTATGTTACATGGCTGTATATGTATATAATGCTGTGTGACTATGTCGACAGGAGAATCTTGGGGAGATTCGTGTTAGTTGCACATGCCTGTATATGTATATATGCTGTGTGACTATGTCGACAGGAGAATCTTGGGGAGATTCGTGTTAGTTGCACATGCCTGTATATGTATATATGCTCTGTGACTATGTCGACAGGAGAATCTGGGGGAGATTCGTGTGGCCCTCATGTACCTGCCCACCGCTGAAAAACTCAGCATCACACTTCTCAGCGTCCGAGGCCTGCGGATCCCGGACGGCCCCCGACGGAACACAGGTGCGTTGCTGCTGCATAACTCATCGTGTTATAGCTTGTCGTTTGTTATTGTTAGTATTGCCCAAAGTTAAAGTTTTTAAAAAATAGTCATTTAACCCCAGCCACTTTACACCCCCCCCCCCCCCCCACCACAACCACCACAACCACCATCAGTCATATTTTCACAGACAAGTCGACGCAGGGTTCATTACATCACACCCCCTTGCATTTAGTTGCCATTACATTTTCTGGTGCCCATTCTAGGTTGGTTGTTGTCTGCTTTAGGAAGGTGGGGGGGGGGTAGGGGGGGTAGGCGTGTCATCCTGAATGATAGTAGCACAAAGAAGTTTCGGAAAGGGGAGAGGGCGTCAAGCAATTTCGAAAATGTGCATTAATTGTAATAAATTGTTTCAGTAACATTTTAATCCTGTTCTTTATTATAATTTCTACACCAGATGACGTCACATAATAGTTCAACATTTTAGGGGGTGGTAACTCTTGGTTTTCTGATGCTTTTAACGACCCCCAAAAATCTAGAACTGGCCCTAACCCCAACCCACCTACGCCCCACGAGAGAGTGCAGCCTTTGTCCCACGACTGCATGCAGCCTATCTACCACCACTTAAAATATTAGACTGTCCCGTGACCTGTGGATTTCCCCTGTTTGGGGTAGGATATTAATATAGCACCTTTGTTCCAATTTAATTATATTAAAATATTGTTTAATCTTTTCATTAGGCAAAAAGATGAGGAATTTGTGTTATTTGACACTTTGATTTAGGTGCATGTTGTTCTTTTGCTTCTTGTTAATAGTGCCTAGGATTTTTTTGGGGTCCTCTTTTGACCCCCGACCCCGTTTTTTCAGCCTTTTTTAAATGTTGGCTGTGAGGAAGGGGTCTTGGCACACATTCAAAGGGAGCGACTCCTGACACATGTTGAAAACCACTGTTCTAGACGGTGTCGATAAACGACAAGACATTCATTTACTTTTTCTTTTTTCTCTTCTTCTTCTTGTTTGCGTTCACCAGCTGTAAACTGGTGGAAAGTTCTGGTTGTTCGTTCACTTCTGGACTGCAAACATATTCCAGAATCTGAGTGTTGCATCCGTAGGACAGATCTGACACATTTGTCTGGCAGATGCACCCCGACTTCGAAAAAAGCTCCCAATAAGTCGACTCTTACGACATGCTTTTAGGTAACCAGTGGATCTATTCTTGTTTTCCCTAAAATAGGGCCCAGAACCCTCACAGGGGAATAATTTACTAAACAGCCTGGATGATAATTCCATAATTACTTCTGTGTATTTTTTTTCCTAACCGAGCTGCTACCCCCGGGTTTGACACCTTAAGATTACAAATATCTCAGTCTTTTTCTTCTTCTTCTTTTCTTTTGCCTTTCTAACCCCCAGTGGAGCATATGCCCTCAACCAACTCACGCGTTAATGCAGTGCTTCTCAAACAATAAATAAATAATTTTCGACAGTGGCGAGGGAAGACGACTTTAATTTCAACTTCAGGATGTACATGCCTTCTTTAATAATTTTACAATTTTAGGCCGACGTTTCTTGATTATTGCCGCTGCACCCCTGTCATTCGCTCACGGCACCCCAGGGTGCCTCGGCACCCAGTCTGAGAGCCGCTGCTTTAACGAATCGTTAGCCCGACCCGGTGACGTCAGCAACACGGCTCATTCCTGAGTGGTAAACTAATGTGGCGAATCTCAGTTACCCTGTTTACCATTCCAAAAAAAAGTTACAGTATAGCCGTTATTACCATAAATTCGCTTAAGAAGAACACCCGGTTAACATTTTTTTTTAGGCCTTGGGTCCTGAAGGAATGTGTTAATTTTGAGTGCCCGGTAAGCAGCAAAGTGTTAAACCCTAAGAATTCATGTTAACGGGGTTTTACTGTATAATATTCCCGTGTGGGTTCCGGGGCTCGCTTGTGGCAGAACAAAGAATAGACTGAAATAGACAAAAGCATGTCGTAAAAGCCACTTTATAACCGGTGAACGTGAATAGGGAGAAAACATTAGCTGATAAATTGCTGTTGGTACTAACTTGGTACTAACAGTGCCTAGAAAATCACAAACCTGAAGTTACAACATGCGAGATGAGATGTATAAGAAATGCTGCGGGAAAAACAAGAAGAGATAAGAGGTTACCAATAAAGAACTAAGAACAATGGAAGGTTCTTCTTCTTCTTGTTGTTCTTGTTCTTCTTGTTCTTGTTCTTCTTGTTCTTGTTCTTCTTGTTCTTCATTTTCTTCTTTTCCTTCTTCCTCCTCCTCCTCTCTTCTCTTCTTGTTCTTCTTCTTCCTCCTCCTCCTCTTCTTCTTATTCTTCTTCTTCCTCCTCCTCCTCTTCTTCTTCCTCCTCCTCTTCTTCTTCTTCTTCTTCTTCTTCTTCTTCTTCTTCTTCTTCTTCTTCTTCTTCTTCTTCTTCTTCTTCTTCTTCTTCTTCTTCTTCTTCTTCTTCTTTCTTCTTCTTTGTCCTTCCTCCTCCTCCTCTTCTCCTTTCTTCTACTCCTCCTCTTCCTTCTTCTTCTCCTCCTCTTCTTCTTCTTCTTCTTCTCTTCTTCTTCTTCTTCGGTCTCTTCTTCTTCTTATTCTTCTTCTTCTTCATCTCTTTCTTCTTCTTCTTCTTCTATCTTTCTTCTTCTTCTTCTTCTTCTTTCTTCTTCTTCTTCTTCTTCTTCCTCTTCTCTTTTCTGTTTCTTCTCTTCTCCCTCCTCCATCCTCTCATCTTTCTTCTTCTTCCTCTTTTTACTTCTTTTCTTCTTCTTCCTCTTTCTTTTTCTTCTTCCTCTTCCTCTCCTCCTCTTCCTCTTCTTCTTCTTCTTCTTCTTCTTCTTCCCCTAGTCTTCTTCTCTTCTTCTTCTTCTTCTTCTTCTGTCTTCTTCTTCTTCTTCTTCTTCTTCTTCCTCGGAGCGTCTTCTTCTGTCTTCTTCTTCTTCTATCTTCTTCTTGATCTTCTTCTTCTTCTTCTTCTTCTTCTCCTTCTTTTTGTGTCTTTTTCTTCTCTTTTCTTCTTTTTCTTCTCCTTCTTCTTCTTCTTCTTCTTCTTCTTCTTCTTCTTCTTCTTCTTCTTCTTCTTCTTCTTCTATTCTTCTTCTTCTTCTTCTTCTTCTTTCTTCTTCTTCTTCTTCTTGCTTCTTTTTCTTCTTCTTCTTCCTCCTCTTCTTCTTCTTCTTTGCTTCTTCTGCTTCTTCTTCTTCTTCTTCTTCTTCTCTTCTTCTTCTTCTTCTTCTTCTTTGTTCTTCTTCTTCTTCTTCTTCTTCTTCTTCTTCTCTCTTCTTCTTCTTCTTCTTCTTCTTCTTCTTCTTCTTCTTCTCTTCTTCGTCTTCTTTCTTCTTCTTCTTCTTCTTCTTCTACTTCTTCTTCTTCTTCTTCTTCTTCTTCTTCTTCTTCTTTTTTTTTTTCTTCTTTGTCTTCTTCTTCTTCTTTATTTCTCCTCCTCTCTCTCTTCTTCTTCTTCTTCTTCTTCTTCTTTCTTCTTCTTCTCTTCTTCTTCTTCTTCTTCTTCGTCTTTTCTCTTCTCCTTTTTCTTCTTCTTTTTTCTCCTCTCTCCTCCTCTTCTTCTTCTCTCCTCCTCCTCCTCTTCTTCATGCTTCTTTCTCTTCTTCTTCTTCTTCTTCTTTCTTCTTCTTTCTTCTTTTCTTCTTCCTCCTCCTTCTTCCTCCTCCTCCTCCTCTTCTTCTTCTTCTTCCTCCTCCTCCTCTTCTTCTGCTTCTTCTTCCTCTTCTTCTTCTTTTTCTTCTTCTTCTTCCTCTTCTTTTTCTTCTTCCTCCTCCTCCTCTTCTTCTTCTCCTTCTTCTTCTTCTCTTCTTCTTTGCTTCTTTTTCTTTTTCTTCCTCCTTCTCCTCCCCTTCTTCTTCTTCTTCTTCCTCCTCCTTTTCTTCTTCTTCTTCTTCTTTTCTTCTTCTTCTTTTCTTCTTCTTCTTTTCTTCTTCTTCCTCTTCTTCTTCTTCTTCCTACTTCTCCTTCTGCATTTATCAGCTGTGAACTCCAGTAGAAAGTCCTGGTTGTTCGTCCACTTTGATACTGTGGTCTTATTCCAGAACTTGAGTGTTTCTGTCGACACAGCCTAAAATGGGTACAAGGATGTATGTCCTGGGAAAGTAAAGACGGCCGGCGTAATGCTGACCACGTTACTCTTCCCATATGCCCGATGTGCCTAAAGGCGTGAAAAGGGATCTTAACTTTACTTTAGAATAGATAGGTAAATAGTCGGTTCTTTGGCTAAGCCGATGCAAACGCTTCGTAATGCCGGGATGCCGGGTTCGATCCCAGCTGCGGGCCATTTGCCTTGCGTTGGTTTTGACAGTGGTATCAAGAAAGCCGACCGTCCAGACCAATGGCAAACTACTGAACGTAAATTTGCCTAGAAAACCCATACAACAGCCAGGGGCTGTTGGGGTTGGTTCTGCAACGTCCTGTAAATGATACGCAACTTACTTAGATAGATAAATGAAAAAATGTTTTGATTGCTGCTTTCACAGAGGCCTACATCAAGATTGTACTTATGCACGAGGGGAGGCCACTCAAGAAAACCAAGACGGCGCCCAAAGCCTGCAGCCCCAACCCGTCGTTCAATGAGACGTTCGTGTTCGATGTCCCCGCTTACCAGCTGGACCGCGTCTACCTCGGGTTGTCAGTCATCGGCATGGACAAAGTGAGTGACCTCTTCTCCTCCTTTTCCTTATGATTACTGATTTAAGAATCGACATCATAGCACCGGGCATACATACAGATTCTCCGTCTCCTGCAGCAAATGTCTTAAGGTATATAAAATATCCAGTTTGAAGCCCTACTCTGGCTTTCCCCCCACCTCCCATCTGCCACGCTCATGTATAGAAGTTCTCTTTTCAAGGCTTTGTTTATACATATATTATTTGAAATATATTTATTTACCATTCTGCATACTATTATTATTATTGTTATTCCTTAGCGCTTAAATGTGTCTTAGATACATTGACGCCCCTTCCTAGAAAACATGAGGCCCCTTCCTATGTTATCTGGATGTCAGAACCGTTGTCTTGGTGTTTACGTGTGTCTTGTGTGATTGAGGAGAGGTGACCTTGGCTTCCTGGTCGACACAGCCTCAATAGATACCGGGTAAAGTCCTGGGAAGTAAAGGTGGCAGGCGCCATATTGACCACATCACCCATCGAGTACAGACTGGTATATTACAATATAAGTCAAGTATTATAGACCGAGATCGAGATATACCTGCGATGTGAAAATGGCTCTTTACATACTTCTACTATATATATATATATATATATCATCATCATCATCATCATCATCATCATCATCATCATCATCATCATCATCATCCCGTAACACTAGGCGTCTTTGGGTCACCAGTTTTTGTTGACTGTCTGATCGGCTCTCGTCACCTTTGACGGTCAGTTGCGATGGACTTCATGGTTGCATGCCTGAGACCTGTCCAGTCAGTCAGGTTTTGTAACCAGGTCTTTCTTGGTCTGTCTCTTCCCCTATACTGAGCCCTGCAGTATTGTTTTTCAGAGGCCGTTAGATCTTATTACATGTCCATATCATTGCATTTTTCGCCTTTTCGCTGAAGTTAAAAGAGGCTCATAGTTGCCTTTGTGCTGTATAAATTTAATTAAGGCGAACCTCTTTGTATTGTGGTCTCTGTATGATATGCCAAGAATTTTTCTGAAACATCGCATTTCTAATGCTTGTATCTTTCTTTCAAGTTCAGCTGTTAAAGTCCACGTTTCAAGGCCATATGTAAATGTACTAATAGCTAGTGCTCTGAGCAATCGAATCTTAGTTTTGCATGAAATGTTTTTGGATCTCCATAATGTTTGCTGTTTCGCAAGGACTAATGTTGTCTGGGCAATCCCACACACACACATACACACACACACACACACACACACACATACATATATACATATATATATATATATATATATATATATATATATATATATATATATATATATATATATATATATATATATATATATATATATAAACTAGAGTTTATCCCAGCTTCGCCAGGGATACTAAAAGAAGGTCTTATTCTCCCGTCTATCTCATCTTGGTCTCCACCGCTGCCCTGTATGTAGACCTAGTGGAAATAAAGGTTTCATTAAATCCCTATATTTAAATCCCGTGTTTTACTTCATCTTTGTCTCCACCGCTGGCATATTTTGAGTCATTGCCCTAAAGTGCACCGAGGCATCCACTGTAATACTTACACCAGTCTTTAACAATTTCGGAAATAGACAAATGTATTGTCTCAGAAACACACACACACACACACACACACACACACACATATGTGTGTGTGTATGTGTGTGTGTGTGTGTGTGTGGTTTCAGGGAAGATAACACCGAAACCTTATTTTTTTTTAAATTATCTTTTTAATGAGGTAATAGGAATAAATATTCAAAGAAACATAAGTCCAGCGAAAGTTTACTTTTACTGATTGTCGCAATAAATAAAGAAATACATAATAACTTACGCTGCCGATGTGACTGTTAAATTAAACATTTTAGTCATAATCTTCTTCTGCTTCTTCTGCCTTTCTATCCCCAGTGGAGCAAAGACCCTCAACCAACTCAAGCCAAGTCGTTCTATCCTTCGCCATTGCATGGAGCTCTCCCCATGTCCTCCCCATCTTTCTCACTTCATTCTGCGTGTTTGTTTTTTTTTTTTTTTTTTGGCCTTCCTTTATTCCTATGCCCCTGCGGGTTCCAATGCAAAGACATTCTAGTTATGCTGTTCTCCTGTTTTCTCAGTGTGTGTCCTATCTAACGCCAGCGTCTTTTCCTCACTTCTTCATCCACTGGAGCCTGTTTAGTTCTCTCCCACAGCTCTACATTAGTTATTTCATCATACTATTTAATTCCCTCTATTCGGCACAGGCACCAGTTAATGAATGTCTGTAATTTATTAGTAATTGTCTTAGTTGTTCTCCCTGTTTCCGCCCCATACAAAAGTACTGATTTGACATTAGAATGAAAAGATTTTTAGTTTAGAATTTCTATTAATTTCTTTTGACCTCCACAAATTCCCTAGTGCTATGAAAGCTCCTCTTGCCTTTTGCATTCTTATTTTAATATCTCTATCAGTTCCTCCCTCTTTATCTACATTACTGCCCAAATAGATGTACCACTCCACGTCTTGGAGTGGGGTGCAGCTTGGTCTAAAAATCTATAAAGGAAAGACAATGATAATGAGAATAAATCAGGCAAATAGTAATATGGTTTTCTTACATCTGTATAAATATGGAGTGCATTTTTAAAGGAAATTGAGAAGATCAGAGGAACGTCTGGAAAACTATGTGTATCGACTGCAAAAAGACGAAGAAGGTGGAAATTTATTGGGCGCACTCTGAGACAAGATGAGCAAAAATTGACAAAACAAGCACTAAAATGAGAAACAAACGGTCTAAAAAAGAGAATGTCCATTAGAAACACTAAAAACAACACGAGTAGTTAAACCCCTGGGCTGAACGCCATGTATCTTAAATCAACAGAGTTGCGTGAAATAAGAATGGGGTGGAGAAATCGAATACGAACCCTATTTGACATCTAACGGTATACAAAGGATGATATATATATATATATATATATATATATATATATATATAAGTAAAGGACCCTATTCCAGGCCTATGGGCGTATTGGACATGCGTGGCTAGACCTATATGTTTATAGACCAATCGGTACTTGGTGGGTAATGTGGTCAGCATCACGCCGGTCGCCTTTACTTCCCATGACTGTATCTGGTACCCATTCAAGGCTGGGTCGACCTGGGAGTCACGGTAATTTTTGGGGGGAAAAAGACTGGCTCCGTCAGGGCGCGAACCCACGACCTCCCAACCCGCAAGCGGGCGTCTAACCACCAACGATTTATATGGGCCTTTTCATATTTTTTATCAGTTAGTGCGGTTCCATCTACACAGTGAAAGCCAACTGCAACAGTACTTTACCACGTTAACACTCCTTAGCTCTCGATGAACATACATAGTCTTTGAGACCTCTATCTCCCTTCTCTTAATGGTATCCTACCGCTTGTATCAGTGTCTACCCCTTGTTCGCTTGTCCTTAACGACTCTGCACAGACTAGTTTTTATAAGAGTGTTATGTCTTTTAAGGGAGCCGCCGTGGTGTAGCGGCTAGATGCTCTCCTGTGGAAATGAAGGTCATGGGTTCAAATTCGAACGGGGACGGATTTTGTGTTTTTATTTAAATGACCGTTGCTCCCAGGTCGACCTAGCCCTACATGGGTATCAACGTGAAGTCATTGGAAGTAAAGGCGACTGAATGATACTGACAACATACCCCAATATATGCCAGTTGGTCTATAAAATATAGAACTAGGCCTAGGTGCCCAATATGCCCGAATGCGCGGGAAGGGGACCTTTAATAAAACTTGATGTGTAAAATAGTCAACGTGTCAATTTGTTTTATTTCTTCTACGTTGAAAACAGGACAAGGAAGATGGCCGCCATCTGATTGGACGGTTATACATCGGGGTCAACTTTGACGAAACTGCAAGAGCACAGTGGCTGGAGATGATTCAGAACGCAAGAAAACAAGTTGCCTGTTGGCACAAACTACAAAGCTGAGGCTACATCACACAAGTCTTTTTTTTTTTTTTTTTTTGCTCACATAATTGTTGTTTATAAATGTACAGTTGGTATTTTTGTGTAGTCATGGATAAAGGATTTTTTTTTTTTCAGTGGTTCATATTAATGTAAATAAGATTCATGGTTCTTCGTGAGAGTTTCATGACCTCAATTCTTGTAGGGAAAAAGAATAGACCCAATGCACCCCTCCCATTTTTTCCCCCACCCCAAAAAAGTGCATGCCGCAAAACGTACATGTTGCAAAACGTGTCGCAAACATGTCGCAAAACGTATCGCACACATGTCGCAAAACGTGAATGTTGCAAAACGTGTCGCACACATGTCGCAAAACGTATCTCAAACATGTCGCAAAACGTGTCGCACACATGTCGCAAAACGTGAATGTTGCAAAACGTGTCGCACACATGTCGCAAAACGTGAATGTCGCAAAATGTCTCTTAATTGTGATTCGCTGAGACCGAATGGGGACAACTTGACACAGACGTCGGAGGGAGACGGTCATCATTTTTCGGCCATGTGGAAGGAGGGAGGATGGAACATGCTGTGACCACTAGAGAGATTTATGGGGAGAGGGAAGGCGAGAAAAGATTGTTGACAGTCTTGTTGCATGACATGGGAGTGTGTGATACTTGCTGCTGGAGATCGCTGGTTGTGGACAGGCATGCTCCCCTACGCCAGTCGGCAAGGCACCTGATGATGAAGGTCTGAATAGCGCTGATATCACAGCCTTGCTGTAACACCGCAGCCTTGCTGTAAACCATGATACACCATGCCACCATTTTTTATTAAGGGCGAACGCAGAAGAACATGCTTTCCTGCCTGTCAACCAAAAGGAACTGGGTTTGAATCTGCATTGGTAGGAATTTTTTTTAATATATCTTGGGAAGCAAAGGATACGACTTGTTGATTATATAACCCATCGACGGCTGTTTTGCCTATAAAATTATACCGTGTCTCCCCTCCCCCAAATTTATATATATATATATATATATATATATATATATATATATATATATATATATATATATATATATATATATATATATATTATAGTTGTAATATTTCAGTTATATTGTTACGAACACTGTGGTGTCAATGTCACACATGGACACTGTCTTCAGAAGACAGAAGGAAAATGGTCACGACAGAAGTAACATGTTTATGTACTGTGCTAAGTGTAACGAGGAAAGATCGACGTTGGAACGATGATATCTGAAGGAGTCAGCGCAGAACCAATACTGAACTTTATAGGTAGACAACCGGTATTCTCAGTGCATTGAAGGAAGCATGACGAGAAGATGATTCTGGAGACGACGTTGAATTAACAACACCCAAAAGACCACAAGAACTTCTTGTCAAAAGAGGTATCGCCCAACATAACCACTATATATGTACCAAAGAAGAACAGTAAACCAAAACAGAACTGGTGTTAGCCGTCGCCTTGCGCTAAGGGATATGGGAATAAACTCCACAGGGGAGCATGTACAGCAGGGATCTACCAATCGTCAGTAGAAGTAATCTCTCGTCGACAAACGTTTCGGACCACGAGCTCCTAGACGTTTTCAGAGAGTGGGCCCACCTGAGTTCATGAAGCTCAGGGTTGGTTTATCTGCTGCACGAAATTACCGGATGTTGTTCGGATAGGGACAAGACGACTTGGTGATTTGCAGAAGGTACTGTGAGATAAGAAGTCGTCGCGGTAGCATAATTAGAGCAGTCTGCGTACCTGGACGACCGAGCGACAAGCTTACTAAAGTTGAGACCCGCGCGCTTATGGGCTTTTCGGATGTGTATGAGGATAATCTGTCAGTCAATTACGTAACCAACTGTCAATGCGCGGCGTCCGTGGTTTAGGCGCTGCTAGTCCGACTCATAATTCCAATCTATTGCGATCGAAACCCACTGCTGGCTGCGTGAATTTTTATCATGGTATGGGGCGCCGCAGGTCGACCCAGCCTAAAATGGGTACCAGGATGGCTGTTCTGGAGAAGTAAAGACGGCCGGCGTAATGCTGACCACATTACCCATCTAGTGCCTATGGTCTGTAAAAATATGTGTGCTCTTTCTATATACCCAATACACCTAAAGGTGGGAAATGGATCTTTACTTTATACTTTTAAACTAACTGTCAGTAGAACCTCACGCCAGCCGCCTTTACTTCCCATAGCATTATGTAGTATGCAAATTATGCTGATTTGAGCCAACGATCTTGGAGCTTCAAGGGCTCCCTCTGTAAGATTATGAAAGTAAGCAGGGGGCCCTTTTCTACGCCTAGTGTCGTTCTGGACCAGACTTGTATTTTATTTAAAAAAAGTCGGCACTATGTGGGTAATGTGGTCAGCCTTTACTTCCCAGGACTGCACCTGGTACTCATTTATGGCTGGGTCGACTGGGAGCTAATGTGATTTTTGAAGGAGGGAAAAAAAAGAGTGGTTTGGTGACGAAAAGCGACTAGCCGCTACACCACTGTAAGATTGAAGGCATTCACAAGGCCCGCCTTCACCTTCATGCCCCCTGCCCTGCCCCTTTGTTATTCACAGATGAATCCAGTACCGAAATTGTGATACCTCGATCGAAACCCACTGCTGGCTGCCTGGATTTTTATCATGGTATCACTTTGAGTCGCCGTGGCTAGACGCGTGCCTGCGGATCCGAAGGTCGTAGGTTCGCGTCCTGACGGAGCCGAACTTTTCTTTTCTTCAAAAAGGACATTGACTCCCAGGTCCACCCAGCCTTGAGTGGGTACCACTTGCAGTCTTGGCGGCCGACCACATCACCCACCAACTGCCGATTGTTCTATTAAAGTATAGGTCCAGCCCTATGTGCCCAATACGCCTAAAGACGTGAAAAAAGGGACCTTTAATCAGCACACTGACCAGGCAATAAGAACGTTAACAACAAGAAAGTAGCAACACTAAGAGGTAGGAGAGCACCAAGAAGAAGATGGGATTGAAAGAGTCACTGATACCTTGAGACTCTACCAACATCACAGCACACCCGGGAGCCGAGCATGCCCTAGCTCGGATACCTATCATCTGTTAACCTAGCGACACAATGCAAAATATAGAGACCCTCCCCCACCCACCCCACCCACATCATACATATAATCACCGTCATACCAATCATCGTTACTGTCATTAGACACATTAATCTTCTTTTGGTATATTCGTGTGTGCTTATTCTTCTCCTACACCATCCCCCTCTTCTTATCCCCCGCTAGAGTATAGGCCCACAACCAACTCATGCCAGGCTGATCAATCTCCCTCTGTCTATTGAAGCTCTCTGCATGCCCTTCTCGCCATGTTATTACTTTGTCTGTAGTTCAAGTCTTCCTCTATCTGTTAAAGCTCCCTGTTTGCTATCCCCATGTTATTACTTTGTCTGTAGATCAAGTCTCCCTCTATCTCTTGAAGCTCCCTACATGAATCCCCATGTTATTACTTTGTCTGTAGTTCAAGTCTCCCTCTATCTCGTGAAGCTCCCTGTATACCTTCCTCCCCATGTTATTACTTTGTCTGTAGTTCAAGTCTCCCTCTATCTCTTGAAGCTCCCTGTATGCCTTCCTCTCCATGTTATTACTTTGTCTGTAGTTCAAGTCTCCCTCTATCTCTTGAAGCTCCCTGCATGCCCTCCTCCCCATGTTATTACTTTGTCTGTAGTTCAAGTCTCCCTCTATCTCTTGAAGCTCCCTGCATGCTATCCCCATGTTATTACTTTGTCTGTAGTTCAAGTCTCCCTCTATCTCTTCAATCTTCCTGCATGCCCTCCTCCCCATGTTATTACTTTGTCTGTAGTTCAATTCTCCCTTTATCTCGTGAAGCTCCCTGCATGCCCCCCCCCCCTTTCCCTATGTTATTACTTTCTCTGCAGTTTTATTCTCTGTCCTCTTCAGGTCTTTCTCTATTCATGTGCTCTGTGGGTTCCAGACACTAGCTATTCTGTTTATACTATTTTCGGGTTTCCCTAATGCGTGTCCTATCCACGTCTGCGTCTATTCATTTGATTCACTGAAATTGTTGATTAGTTCTTTTCAACAGCTCCGCATAAATAATTATGCCATAACTTTTAATTGTGTCGATTCTGTGCAGAATCTGGTTAAAACTAATGTTTGTAGTTTAGTAGTAAATGTCGATTGTTAAAGCCGAGAGACATTGAGGAAGACAGAGAATGGATAGAGGAGGGTTCCCCTTTCTTCTTCTTGTGTGGCTATATCATCGTGGCTTTCCACAGCTTTCTGTCTCGTGCATTCTTTTTAGAGTTTGTGTATGGCGTTGATAATCATTTCTATCAACAGATTTATGTGTCATGCGTCTTTTTCTACCTCTTTTTCTTCCTTCTTCTTTTACCGCTTCGGGTATCGATGGCTTTTTGTTCTTTTGACCGACGCGTTCATTAACATTTTTTACTGTTGTAGCTTATCTGATGTTATCTTTCCATTTCATTATTGGCTTACCTCATTCTCTACATCTCTCTCCACTTTTGGTGTATGTCCTCAATAGTGTGGCGTTGCTAGTAAATTTATTTGCTTTCTTTGTATGTAATTTAGTAATTAATCTGTGCCGTCTATGTCTCTTATGACTTCATTCGTAATAGTATCTCTTCTGATCACTCCTGCAGCCTTTCTTGGACATGTCATTTTAATTTCTGTCTTTTGCCAACAATCTGTAATACATACGTCCCACCATGCAAAATGCAAAACTGACAAACATATCTCTTTGTCTTCATCTGCCTCTCTGCTCCTCCACCTCATCTACTGTTGCGACGAAATTCAGTTTTCTCCTTCTCATGAAGTGACCAAAGAATTGTCATTAGTGATACAGTATTTGTATTGTGCACAAGCATGTAATTTGATTCGTTGAAATTGTTTATTTTATGATCCAAGTTTTTGAAAATTAAGGACATTTAAAAATGAAATAAAAATTAACTTATCTGTTAAAAAAAATATGGCTTTTTCTTCATACCTATTTGTGTGTGCAAAT